CTATACATACAATATGGACATTTCAATGTTAATACTTACTATTAATTATTTTTAAAAAACTTCAATAAATAAAAAAAAGTTGGTAATATTATTATGAATTTAATGTTTAAGTAAAATGTCATATTATAAATTTTATGTTATGTCAACAATTTTTGTAACGTATCAGTTATGATACTGTATTCTAAAAACTGATACATTAATAAATAGGTATAGATTTTTAAATATTAATAAAATAAATATTATTGATTTGTCAGAAAAATGATGTTGAAAATATTTAGTTTATATTATATCAGAAATTGAAACAACAATCAATTTTTCACTTACTTAAACGATAATTAAAAAGTTAAAATATGTAATGGGTATTATTGAGAGGTAACATAATTAATGATCTTTATTTAAAATATTTTCGTCTAATGCTTACAATTACAAATTAAATATATATATAAATTTTTGGTATCACACTCTGAAAAAATTTAAATATGAACCTTTTGCAAGTTTTGAAAACCGTAGCGTTTCAATTTTATTTATCCCTTCAGATTTAAACAATTCATGTTTAATTAGAACTCCAGCAAGTCTGCTTCTCATTCTAGAATTTAAATATCCATTTGTAACATAATGTTGGAATACAAAGAGACCATCATGGTATTGCTTCATTATTTTTTTAATGAAATTATCTATAACTTAAACTTTGTATTAATTATAGTATAAAAAAATATTTTAACATTTCCTACTACTCGTATTACTAGAATTTTCATCTATACATTGCTCACTATCTGCAGAACCTTTAGAATCTGACACATCAAAAATATTTTTTAAAGTTCTGGTTGGTTTTGATATATCTATTAAAATTAGGTACAAAATATATATATTTAGGTACTAAGTATATTATATTACACATATTTATTGTTGTTATTTTATTATTTTTATATAAATAATAATAAAATAGTTCAATATTTAATTATTTAAATAAATAATTGGTTGGAATTGATATGATATTACTATTTAAGTAAGTACCCAAATTGTTTGTAGTATCGTTTACTACAAAATAAATGTCTTCATAGGATCTGGTGTGTATATATCTAATGTATATATATATATATATATATATATATATATATATATATATATATATATATATATAAATCTATAATAAATAATGTATACTTAATTATAATAATGAATATAAATTATCAACTTAACATTTTAATATACCTATTCTCATAGGCGCAAATAGGGGAGGCCCCCGGGCTTAGTCACCTCTAGAATTGCTATAGCCCCCCTACAAAAAAAAAAACTAAAGATTCTTTTAGGGGTTTTGTGATAATTTAAAAGCATTATAAAAGTATCCAGCATAAACCTGAGCTACCAAAATTTCAAACACTATTTGTGCCTATGCCTATTTCCAAGTTAGGAAAATTACGTTTCACATTTTTTGTTACTACCTTTTTCTTCTATAACAATATCCATGTTCAACAATGATTCTATATTGTTAAAGGCGTTTTGTTTTCAAATTGGATAAGCCTTACAAGTAAATAAAAATTAAGAGTGAGGAATACTTATTTATGAATTAAGTAATTTCAATTTAAATAATATCGAATTTATAAAAATATGCATTACATATAATATAGGAATATTTACTCCTTTTGATTTTTTAAATTTTTTCAACTCATTTATCATCGAAGCTCTTTGACCCATTTTTGGAATTAAACTAACTAGCATTGATTCCGTTAACAACAACAACAAACTATTTTCATTAATTGCTTTTTCTGAAAATTAATATTGTTTAGTAATAGCTACAACTACAAGAAATATTTATCTTAATAGGACGTACCCACTAGCATACTCGTACCTAACATACCAAATCTACATGCACCGGATTGTAATTTGTAACTAGATTGTTTATCCTTTATCTCCCTTTAGAGAAAACTGACGTATTACCAAAATTTAGAAGGAAAATATAAACTCTGCTTGAGCTAAGAATTTTTTTTTTCGTATTATTTATTTATTATGTGTCTTGAGTACCTGAATTGGTTTAATTTTAAAATACTTGTAAATTGTTTTAAAATAAACATATGAAACAAACTTTTTGCTTGTGTACAGTTTGTATTCACATCTACAAATTTGATAAATGTAAATTTGCTAATAATAACTATGAATAAACTGTAGTAACAGTACGATGCATATATATTTACTATTACGTGTGTGTAAAACAAATAAAACACATACACGCCCTCGAATCTCGATACTATAATTAATTAGATAGTAAAACTCGTTGGCGTAAAAAGTGTATTTAAATATTTTATTCACATTAAAGTTAAATTAGCTTTATTCTTATGACTACTTATAGAAAATAATATTAATACTCTATATTAAAGTACTAAATCATTAGTCACAGGATATTAAACAAAACCAAAAATAATACTGGTTATCCCTATCTGTGTTTTAATTTAAAAGTCAAAATACTTTACCTTCAAACTTATTGACTAAATGTTTATGCCCCACGTCATTTAACCAATTTTTGGTGAATTCATCCATATCTAAATATATGATGCTAAAATATATAAATATATTTGTATATACATTGTGTATACTATACATGACGTGTATAATGCTTGTACATTATAATACAGTACAGTACTAGTACAGTGGCGTAGCCAAGGGAGGCACAGGGGCCATGCCCCTCCCCCCATTGGCCGCATCATATAATATGTATATAAAAAATAATCGTAAATTAATTAATTTTGACTATGTACCGGTTTGGAGTTTAAATTTACAAACATTGAACTGGACAAAATAAAATACTGTTAAAAATATTTGAAAAATTAAAAACACTGTTATTTATTTAATTTTTTTTTTGGCCCCCCAGCCTTGTAGAAATCCTGGCTTCGCCATTGGTGTATAGTAGTGTTGTGGAATATTTATATTTAAGAATATTAAAAATTCGTTTTTACTTACCTACCTACATATACCTACCTACTAACCTATATGTAATTATAATAAACATTAAATTATAATTTAGAATACTGCGGGGCGCGGGTGAATGTATATTATTACAAATTAGCATTAGATGACATAAAAAAAAGAAGAATAAACAAATCTATGGACTTCAATAATTAAATAATAGAGAATATATTGAAAATATTTCTTATGTAATAAATTATAAGATATTATATTTTTTAAGATCGATGTTTAATAACAAAGGGCAAAGGTACTTGTTATAATATTATATCTTATATAATAGGTATTTTTTTTAAATAGGTACATTCTTCATTGCCTTCTATGCATTGTAGTCATACCTAAACTTTATTGAAAGTGACTAGGCCACAGAATATTTGGAATCGTGAAGAGTGTAGGACATATATTTTGATGTTGATAAATCGGTAAATTGTTGATATAAAAATTAAATAGGACTGGGATTGACGGTAAAATATCTGTCTTTATTGTTATTGTAAAATAAGTTATTCTTTTAAAATTGTATGATTAGTAGCAATAAACTTTACCCAATGCCTTATAATACATATCATCACTTAAATTAAAACTAATTTGAATTTGAATAATAAAACAAAAACTTTTTTAAATATAACGTACCTAATATTATTTTTACATAAATCAAATCAAATAAAAACTTACCGTCTTGCCTTCTGAAAAAATTTCACACTATTTTTTAAACAATATTGTCGTCGAACTTACATGAATATTGACTGTTTCGCTGTTTACTGTTGACTGAATAATGATTACCACAGATGGACCGTCGTGTTAAGTCGTATCCACTGGTCTGGTCAGATTGCTAATAATTGCAATATTTACAACTCTAAGTACTTACTTAATATCTGCTGTACGTTATAAACTTTACATTCGCAGTACTTTTATCTGATACCGCGTACGCGTATACTCAGTTAGTATTGAATATCTCGGTGATATTAAATGTTTTCGTAGCATTCAGTATTCACTTGTGTAAAATCCGGACGAACATGAGCTTAATCGTAAAGTTTTTAAAGAAGATAATCGGCGATATAATATATCATTATATTATAATGATTAACGAGTAGGTGTTATATGTAATGACACTAACCTGTTACTTTAGTTCGTTTAAAATTGTCAAAACTATGACATTTTCTCCGGACAACACGAATGTCAAGTATAGACCATTTAACGAATTAACAGTTACTGCATTAAAGGGTAAACGGTTTTAAATGAATTGATTACCAATAGGGAAAATCCAGAACAATATTATGTAATACATTGTATACTTTATACTTAATTTTATAGTACTTTTAACTATTAATATTAGGACTTAATGCTTAATTTTATAATTAATTTAACTATTAATAATAGTTAACTATTTTAACTATATTTGTTWGTTAATTCAAACATTAAAAACCGCGTTAACTATAAAATATAGTAAACATTACCATAACAAACACTATATTTTTATAGTTATAAAAAGTACATAATTTTAGTTATGTTACCTATTAAATAAATAGTTAAATTTACTATAATTTGCTTAACTATAATATTTGGGTAATTTATTTTTCCATACGAATATATGCAGATTTTATAAATTCAAGATTAGAAGCATAAATAATTTTGTTTTATTTGATATAAGATAAGCATTACAGTAGTGCAATTATTTGTACATCGTATATTGATAGCTGGATCCGCCGCACACACTGTAACATATTATGGTGTGTGATCGTGATACGCGATCTCTGCGTCGCTTTCCTATATTATATTGAGTCAACATAATATACTATACATATRRCATGTACTTATGACTGCAAAAATATTAGAAATACGATAATATACCATGTTTATATATTGATTATATTTCTAATATTTCCACAGTCATAAGTATATGCTATATGTATAGTATATTATGTTGACTCRATATAATATAGGAAAACGAGGCAGAGATCGCCACGATCACACACCATAATATGTTACAGTGTGTGCGGCGGATCCATGTTCACTAGTTCCGTATAACAAGCTGCTTGGCACGTTTAGCGGCCGCAGGTGGGCCAGGTATTGCTAGTCTGTTGTGGCGCGTTCGCRGTCATGGGCAGTGCACCGTTGCGAATGGCCCTGTAGTAGTACATTAACGAGTCCTGCAGTGACGAATGTGGCCGCGGCGACGATTCCTGGGACCGCGATGCTCCCGAGGCTTCTGCCGGACACCTGGATGTGGCCGCGGGTGTTCCGCGACCATATTCGTTGACGTCTTCGCCGTCGTCGCTGCTATCACTCGGCGATGGCGGWCGTACCACYAGTAACCGTCGTCTCGGGGGCGGCGCACGRCATTCGTCTTCGGTRTCAGTGTCCGTCGACGGCGGTCGGTAGCTCAATCTTCGCCGTTGCCGCGGCGGCGACGACGCGGCGTCGCATTCCGATTCCCGGTTTCGGGACGGTGACGGCGTCGGGCTTCTGGCAGGCAAATCCGATGGAATCTCGTACGTTCCGCTCGGGGCCGCGGCGAATGGTTCGTTCTGCTGTTGCGGTTGTCGCTGGAAATCGGCTAGTTTCCGTTTTTCTTCGTCGATCAACCGCTGAAGCCGTTCCCGGTCGTCGACGGACGGCTGCTGCTGCTTATGCAGTTGTGCGGAGACGCGTTTCAGTTGCTGGTATTCGCGCATCAACTCGATGATTTTCGTTTCCCTTTCCAAGCATTCCATCAAGTATGACCGSTGYTCGTTCAAYCTTTCCAGTTCCYGTTGTATATTTTGCCGGCGGTCGTCGTTTTCGTCCTGCAGCTCGGGCTGTATTTCATTATTCGGCGTGCCGACCGCAGCCTCAGAATACGATTCGTCGTCCACGTAAGGTTCAAATGCCAGACGATTGGAGCTTGGAGCCGGCGGCGACGACGGCCGTCCTCGKGACGCGTCGTGCTGTTTGCGTTCCCAGTGCTGTTGCCAATTATTCATGTCAGCCTGGTCGTCGAAGAAATCGGGCTGGTAGCTGAGGTTGTTGGCAGTTGATGGTCTCGTGCGACGTTCCCGGACGCTCCGGTCGCGTGGACGACTAGCGCTGCAGGCGGTTGATCGCCTCCGGCTACTATTTTTCTTCTGCTGCATTAGTCCTTCGTTGATGATCTGATCGACCGGATCGACGTAAGTCGCAGCAGCATTGTCGTTTGGTTCGGGGGAGTAAGTCGGCGCGGCGGGACGACGCCTGCAAGATGTGCTCGTGTCTTCGGTGACCAAACAGGGAGTCTGGACTTTGGTGCARCCACAACAGCCGAGCTCCTCAGCTAGGCGCCGGCGCACACTCTGCGTCTTGCAGTCGACTGGACCGTCATCACGGCGACACGGATTKGRACARCCTCGGTTGMCCATYCGCCTTTCCGGCGATGCGCCGGCCCGTAGACCTGAGTGCACTCTCCGGCAATGCGACGGGAGTCCTGCACGGRTGACGTAACTTTCCTTAAGCTCTTCATGGCATGCGGCGTAACTCATTTCAGTGATTTTTCGTGTTTGTCAATGCGTCGTGTTTCAAAATATGTATAATTTTTCTGTTAAAAATATTGTTRATGTTTTGTATGTGTGAACGTAAAATATACTTCGTATATATTATAATAATATACAAATGCGTCGTCAGGTGAAATTATCATAATATATGTAATAAACATCATAAAATAGCCAACATCAGAAATGTTATTATTTGTTCCTGTTTTATTTTAAAAAAAAATGTGCATGCACGGCGGCGTACTTAGAAATTCTATTCTGGGGCTCTGATGCCCTGAATGAAAATGAAGTATTAAAAAAAAGTTAAATTTTACTTARAATGAAAAAACTATCTAATTAGTTTTAGGTAAAGTATAACTGTTCTCAGTCGTGTCAATAAATTAATCACACACVAATTAATATTCCATATACCATATATTATTTGGTACGTATACCTATAATTGCTGTTTAGTAATTATAATAATAATATCGCAGAACCTAATGAGTAATGGGCAATGGCTAATGCACATTTTACAATATCTTTCTTTAGTAGACTTAATATAGAAAATATAGATGGAAAAATTATATTTTTCAGCTTTGTGATTCCAATAGTCCTCAAGCTTTGGTAGCTATAACATAATTATGGCACCAAAATAAGCATAAAAATTTGTGCTGTAAATTTATTTTCAAACWGATTTCTAAAAAATCGTTGTAATTTAGCAAATTTATACATAAAAAACTCTTCATTGGAATTTTGTAATACGGAAACTTTTTTTCGGGGGAAAACATTATGCATACCTATTTATTTTATTATTTATTTTAAGCTTGCGGTACACATATATGCCATACCACCATATGAGTATATGACGACAATATTAGGTATCATTCTCATGTTGTGAGTATATCCATTTTGTTTTTCATTTATAAATAACTAAGGCTTCAGGGCATTTTTCAGTCAATTTTTTAGGAAATTGACAGACATTTTATCTTACAAAGGTCAAAAAAAAAAATATATATATATAAAAGAAAACATGAAATGACTGTAAATTGTACAAAAACATAAACAATTTAATAAGAAATCCAGAATAATTAAATGGAAAAAAAATCAGTGAAGTAAGTGGATATCGCTCTGCTGTACTGCAGTAGGTTATACAAGACTATTGGATTACTGTAATGAATGGAATTAAATTTGAATTCAATGATATAATATCATTGTATACGAAAAACGATTCGGAGTGGAGACGGTTTGTCTGTCTAGAATATGTTATAGTTATACTATATTAATTATATTGTTATTATTTCAAAAAAAATGAACCTGCTTATAAAGTAAATTCCAAATTGATCAAATCAGATTCATTATGTACCCGACTCACTCAGTCATTCATAGTAAGTATATACAATTTATTATAATGTATTAATATAAGTCATTAACGACATTAACTATTTTTTTTTTTTTTTTTTTTTATTAAACAACTATCCGCGGTGTCTATGGCCATTGGATGTAACAGTACATTATCTATTAGTATATTTACATATTACATTAATATTGGATATTTGATATAGCCTTCTTTCTATGTCGTATATTCTGCATTCGGTTAAGATGTGTTTCACAGTAAGTAGTGTTCCGCAACATGTGCAAACTGGGGGGTCTTCCTTCTTCATTAAGTGGGAGTGTGTAAGGTGGGTGTGGCCAATTCTGAGACGGTTTATAGAGGTCTCGTGTTTTCTTGAGATGTTATCTGCGGAGAAGGATACGGTAAGGCGGATCTCTTGATTTCGTTAAGTTTGGTTGATATTTCATTCCATTCCTTTTGACGCTGAAGTAATGTATCATTTTCGATGACCCTCTTTATGTCGTTGAGAGAGAAAATGGGTAGGTTGATAGAGACATTAACTATTAATATTACTATATTAGAATATAAAGTATACTCTTGAAATTTAAGTACTCACAAATAATATTTTTAAATTATAGCAATATAACTAAAATTGTTATTCTTGATTATTTAATATGTAATTTCATCCGAATTTGAATTTAAAATTACTATTARAAAAAAAACTGTGTTTGTATAATAGTTTTTAGATTACTTTTGCAGCAGAATTAACTACTTACGTGGAACCTTGTTTTAAATTTTCAATCCTTAGCTATAATATTTAAAAATGTTATAAATTTTTAACAACTAAAGAATTTTTAAATTTTTAATTAAATACACTTTGTCAAAATTTGAATTTTATTTTATTTATATAATTATAAAATGTTTCAGCATATATTGTGCTATTATAGGTACAACTAAAATCTGAACTTCAAATGGTTCTAAAATATACGCGATTCTGTATTTTTAATATTTTCCAACTRCTATTATATAAACTTATGTGGAACCTTGTATTAAATTTTCAAGCTGTTTTACCTAAGGAATAAAATGTTATTGTAATTTATAATAAAACAAACTAMAAAGATTGAAAATTTAAATTGTTTATAAATAACTTAAAAAGATTTGAAATATTTTGAAAATTTTATCAAGTATATAAAATGACAGTATTAACATTCAGTGAAAATTTCATATATCTACAGTAATTCGTTTTTGAGTTACGCCAATATCTAAAATCAATTTTCTCAAAAATTGATTTTGCGTAAAAATTCCCATTTATTTTATTGTCTTCCCGGTCCTTTTAAAAAGTACTAGGAATTTCAAATTTGATCTCCCCAATACACCAACCAGATTCACTTTCCAACCAAAAAAGCTACTGAAGTGTAAAATCGAAGCACCATTTCGACAACTTAACGTGTACACAGATACAAAAAAAAAAAACAACACATCATTATAAAATCAATACATTCAYACATTCATCGCTCCACAAAATATATCAACAAATATTTAGCTATACGCAGTACGTACGTTTTACGGATATGACTATGTGTAACATTATAATATTTTAGTATGTTCTAAAATGTACCAGTAATTTCAGTCTTTATACTAATATCGTGTGGATGTGTATTTAGTACTCATTCTCAATAAAAACAACTAAAATAAACAATGCTTTACCTACTTATGTGTCGTTCAGTTTCGTCAGAATAAATTACGTATTTAGCTTAACGTCATCTTAATATAATAAGTACAATAAGTATATGTTTTAAACTATTTACGAACATATAATCGTTGAATGTGTYACGTACATCCCGTTTGACGGTAATCGAACGATTCACAATGATATATTATAATAATAATATAATTACATACCGGTACCTATCTATTGGTTTGCTCTTGCCAAAGA